CTATGTACTTAAGAATGTTTAGTGCTCAAGCTTTTACAAACGTCCCGATAAAAGATCAGAAATAAAAACACGATAAAAACCTTTTTCTTTTATTGTTAATACTTCAAAGTGTCTTACACTATTTCACAACAGCTATATCACTAAAATGCTTCTTTAGAGAAGAAAATATGTCGGCATGTATAGTGTTATTAAAACTGCGTTAATATGTTAGTGCCTTTATTTTTATGTAATTGACGTGTCACATCCGTGATCGTAACTTATCCACGTTTATTACAATCGTCCGTTTGTCAGTCAGTAATCACTTTAACCCGTATAATTTGCACACAGTGTCTTGTCGATTGGTATGTAAAATCTGTAGTATTGCCGAACGTGGAATATTTTAAACGCTATATATTAAAATAATTTGCCTCGGCGTTCTTTCTGAACGGTGGTCATAAATGGCAAAAAATATTTTATAAAGTACCTAGTGCAGGGAGATTTTTTGAGAAGTGCCCAAATTTACACAGGAGGTTCAGACTCGGTAGTATAATCGTTAATTGAAATAAAAAAGTTTTTTTTTTTTTTTTTTTTCAAAAAATGCCAATCTATTACTTAAAAAACAGAACGTGTAGACAATGCGGTAGTCATTCATAAATACCTAAATTAATTACTTACGAGTGATTTTAAATATTTATCATTTTATATATAACATTATTTATGTCTAGAATTTAATAAAAAATTGGACACACTTAGAAAAGCCACCGTGTATAATTATAATACATTTTTTCTCTTAGTAAATAATTTGCTATTAAATTTTGTGTAGGCGCAGCTATATTAAAATATAATTATTAATTATGGAGTGTAGAAGTAAAGGAGGAACGTCTCGTATGGGGGATTAGTCGAAAAAGTGTCCACTTTGTCCACGCAAATTATTGTTCGAACTCTCACTGAAATAGCGCTAGTGTAGCAAGTGGACATGATATGAACTTAGCAGTTATAAGCAGAGTGAAGTGTGCTGGGTTAAAAAATTTAATATTTCTCTTGACTTCTGTAGTTAAGAAATATGCAGTATTTAAAATCACAACTATTTACGTAGTCAATGTTGTTAATATAAAAAGAAAAAATACTACTCCCTACTATACATACTCTAATAATTTGTGGCGCTCTATTCAAAATTCTTCCACTTGCTACTATAGCGCCACAATACACTGAGATGGTCCTCCTTTACTTCTACACTCCATATTATTAATGTTTTAAGTATTTGTCATGTTCCAATATGTGTAATCTTAAATGTGGGTACTTTTTACTTTGTTGTCAAATAAAGTTAAATAAGTGAAGGTAGGAGCAGCAGCGACGGAAGATTTAAGTATTGTGTTAAGCTACCTAGCTAATTACATTATAGTACATACTTAACGTCTTTTATTATTATTCTGGACATAATATTATTGATAAATTTGGTTCATACTAATATTTTCTCATTAAATTATCTTTATACTTCAAGTTAAACATCAAGCAATTTACGATAGGACATTTAGATGACCTTATTAATAGAAGCAATTTACATTAATAACTCGGATCTTACGTATTGCACTCTCTTAAGTCTGTAACGCGGTCAAGCAAATTAGAACGTCATAAGGGAATGAATAATCGATTTGTAGTAGGCGTGCTTAAGTGATACATCAATTCATATCATATGTTACAAAGTAATCATGTTGGTAGGTCAAGTTCACTATTGCTTTGCGATTACTCGGGAAGTTGTACAAAAAGCGGTCATGGTGCATAAATGTTTTAATTTGTAACAACAGCGAAATACTTGAGTCAATCCAAAGTTTAAGTTTGAAAAACACAATAAAAAATAAATTGATATGAATATTTTGAAGAAGTTACGAATATTTTTATAGGAATAATTTTATTCTTAAAACCGACATGATTTTTTAAATATGAAATGTGCAAACATCTGTATAGGGATCATTTACAATTATTGCATTCGATAATTATTAAGTACAGTGAAACTTGGTTAAGTGGGACCTGGATAAATGAGAAACGTCCATAACTGGCAGTCATACAGAGATCTCAACACTTTTACCTCTGTTAGTGGTACGAAGCAAACCTCTATATCTGGGATTCGTTCTATCCATTTTATCGTCATAGTTACCTCTATAACTCGATCATGCAATAACCTCTGTAAGTGAGAAAACATCGTTTTGTTTGTTGACTTAGTTATTCTTACCCACAAACTCTGCACTTAACTAGTTCTGAGCCTCAATGAACTCCAGTTTTAGTTTTATAACGCGAAGAGGTAAAAGCACTAAAAACTTTTCACAGTTATTTTGAAATGACATCAGTAATTGTTGAACAAAGGACATTTGATAAAATTTATTACATCGAAAAAATCTGATACTTCCAAAAGACAAACTAAAATGACAGATTTTTATAATTGATTCATTCTATTTACATTTTTGTACTATTTATAAGTAAAGTGCTTGTTTATTACATTTACATTTTGTATTATCTCTTTTTTAATTCCCAATAAACATTAAAACTCACGTACAAGGTAAATATAATTTACATAATACGTTAAATTTTATGTAATAATCACACCCCTATAACTGAAATAACCTGTATTCTGGCCTCTATTAATAAAACCCTCTGTAAATGAGACGGATATTTTTTTATGTGAAAAGATGCCAAGCGAGCATACGGTTCATCTCATGTTAAGTGAATGCCGCCGTCCATATTCATCTGCTACACCCGAGGGCTACAGGTGCGTCGACAACCTTTTGAAAATTGGGCTCCGGCCACCTCACTCACCAGACGAAACGCGAAAGTATCATACTTCCACTTTACGCCGGTCTTCTGTAAGGTCGTGGAACCTACCCGGACGAGCCTGCATATTCGTGCAACACCCGAGGCTGCTGCGTGGCTGTACCGCCGTGTATATACCTGGATATCTGAGACACCGGGTAAGTGGAATACCTATATCAGTGAGACAAATTTGCAGGTCCATTAATGTCTCACTTACCGAGATTTCACTGTAATTATTCAACTACATATCACAGCACATGCTGTGCAATGCCAGCTCAGTGTCCGGGCGCTCGCCTTTAATTAAATATACTCGAGCAAGCTGAGTTCAATCCCCGGTGCCAGCACCAATGAAATTGTTCATTTAAAGTGCTGAATTATCACGTGCTCGGCGGTGAAGGAAAACATCATGAGGAAACTTGCATATTTTCGAAATAATAAAAAAAATATTTCGAAAATATGTGAAGTCCAAGAATCCGCAGTGGGGTTGCGTGGTGGACTATACCCTGATACCCCCTTTACAGAGGAGGCCTTTGTCCAGCTGTGGGACATTTATAGGCTGTTACTTTATTTTTTTATGTCACACTAAATCGAAGGTATACAATGAGGACATGATGAATAAATACCATACTAGTATCTAGAACAATGTAGCATGATAATTTTACGCTAACAGGTAAGAATTTGTTTGTTTGTCTTTACAAAGTTTTTTAGTCGTTCAGTTTCTAAACTTTTTAATTCGTTATGAGAAAGCATTGGCCAAATCAGGCCGTTGGCGTACCGTATCGGTGAAACCGTGTTAGATAATGATATACTAATGCCAATCTCGTTTAGATTCCCGTTTAAAAAATACCAAGTCATGACAATTTAAACCCTTTTCACACAAGGAATAAAAAAAAAACCATGTTCATATTCTTAAACTGTCTGAATAAAACAAAGAAATTACGATAAACCGGCAGTAATAGAAAAAAAATACGGTTGAATGCGTTGAAAACCCAAACAAATAAATTCAAAGTAAAGTAATTGTGAGCCAAAATATATTTATTATTTATGGTTAAAGTGATAATAATATTTAAAAGACCTTGAGCTCTTTAAAGCAATTATGAATTCGTTAAAATATTGCATAACATCAACGCCTAGTTGCTGTATATGATTCAGATAGCAAACAGTAAGATTTGTACTGTTTCGCTAGAAATTATTTTTCACAAAGCATCAATAAACGTTTTTAAAAAATGAGTTCAAATTCAAATGTTGTAAAAAGCAAAAAAAATAAACTCTTTCAATTCTCATGTATATTTCTAGGGAGTGAACATACAGCATATTAGCTTAATCAAATCTTTTAGTATATTGGCCGAAGTCGTTAAGGTTCTAAGTTTAAGACTAAAAGTTCTAATTCAGCTTGATGATGATGATAAATTAGAAATAAAAACAACAACAAACATTGCAAGTTTGATAAAATCTTGCAGGTAAAAACGTGGACACGCTCCTTGGGAAGTTGGCCTAAAATCATTTCACAATTTGATCCCAACATTAGAACATAAATTGAAATAGGATGAAAATAAATTCACTGAGAAGAGCTCATTATCATGATTCAACATCATACTTTGAAATTTTCAAAAAATAAAGTTGATACCAAAAACCCGGTAAACAACAAATATTTAAAATATTTTTCTGGCTTGGTTATTGTATTCGAACAATCTAAAAAATTCTTGGGCTTTTAGCTTTATGAGCATGGTCTAGTTATTCTGACCATACTTGTTTAATTCCAGTAAATGCTATACTTGTTTTGACGGTACATGCAAGCGTACCTACAATTTTACTTCAAAAAATATCTTATCATGGCCAGACATGTTTGCTTTGATTAAATTAACATAAGGTGATAGCGACATTTGGAAAATTTTACTATAAAACTGGCATACACCTCTTAGGCGAAAAAATTACTAATGATTTTCTGTGCGGACGATAAGAAGGATGAAGCTCTTTTTGATTTTACTTTATTTTTCACTTTTGGTAAACTAAATGTTATTTTCCTAGGTCTAGTTTATATTACAAATTACAATACAAAAAAACGAATATTAGTGTGGCCACCAAATAACGTTTTCGATTTTTATTTATTTTGAAGTTAAATTAAAACCTGAATTTCTGATCATGAACTTCTTTACCAAGAATAAATCTAATCAAAAAATAACAATTCATTTATCAATTTTTTATCATCCTTTCAGATCTTCATGACATGTGGCACAATATCCAACGAGGATTCGTTGATAGCGCAGCAGCGTCGTGATTTGGATCTTTTCAGAGACACGAGGTCAATTCAGATTAAAATTTTTCTTCCACTACACTCACAAACTAATATTGTGATATAAAATTTTATGGAAAAACTAAATTATACCGCTCATATTTAAAATTCCCGTCAATAGTTAAAGATTAAATGTCTTAAAGTCTGATAAAATATTAAATTTGCAACTCCTAATCCTTTTTAAAAGATGTTGAGAAAAGCTCTCAATCAATTTTATCATTAAACTTTATCATTCAACGGTAAATGCACTTTTTCGTTCGTTATTGAACGGCCTTATCTGCAACGGGTTAATGTGCAAAGGTTATATATAACTTGGCCGCAAGCACCTGAATTTCGTACCTTTACGTGCAATTAACAAAAAATTTCAGACAGCGTATCGTGGAACTGGCTGGGAACTTAAGCAATTCGGCGAAACAAGCGGTTGAGACTATTGGTAATTTCTCTGTCGGAATCCAAGACGAAATCCAATCATTGGCAGATAAGATCAAGACAGACATCCAGAAGTTGGAGGGGAGGATTGTGGATGCTATAAATACTGCCACTGACAACCTCAACACAGCTGGCGAAATGGTGACGAATTGTATTGAGGTGAGTGCTAAGCTTTCATTCGTGGGGGTAGCCATAGTTGCTACGGAGCAAACCAATAAATGAAGGTTGCTCAGAAGCCCATGTCTAGCATTTGCCTTAAAATTAATAATAAGAATGATGACTCCGTGACGCAGTCGCCAAGGCATTGGCTTCGGCGTAGGGGGTTGTGGGTTCGATTCCTACACGGGACAACTATTTATGTGATCTACAGACAGTTGTTTCGCATCTGGGTGTTTGTCCGCGTGAAATTTATGTTTGTAAAACGTCCTTACAACACAGGATAATGTTATCCTAAAGTAAGGGCAATGTTTTTTAAATAATAAAAAAAAAAGAATAAAGTACAACTGTGCATAAATGCATGCCTTGCAATTAACAATGCAAGTATTCGCAAATCATGTAAGAAATCAAGTATTCGGGTAAGATAAAGAAATCATTACGTTTCATTTATTACAATAATGATTTCTTGAGTGACCGACCAGAAATCCCTCTAAAATTAAACGCGAAAAATATCACTAAATTAATTTTATTCAACAACGTGAAGTAACTCAAGAAACTATTACAATTACTTTTCAAATACGAATAGACATAAATATTTCTGCATTAATTGATCCGTTCGAATAGAAGAAGAAAAGAAACTTTTTAAATTTCAGTCACACAGGCAGGAAGCCGAGACCCTAATCGACGACACATTTGCCAGGTCTATGGCTTGTGCAGACGACAGAATTAGCGAGCTGGACGCCAAGATAGACGATCTCAACGCAATGTCAACCGAAGCTCTGGACCATGCTAAAAGCGCCGTCGAGGACATGCAAGCATGTGCTGGTGACGGAACTGAAAGTATTTTCGTCGTTGGATCTTGTTTGGGAACCATTGCGCTGCAAACTCAAACGAAAGCAGTGATATTTTTGGCGAATAGCGGGCTGATGGTAAAACATTACTATGTATTGCAGAAGTATCGTGGATCTTAAAACACAGCGGTCAAAATTTTTGTTCTTTATTAAACTGTTCAATATGCCATATCTGTGTAGAGAGACAAAAGATTTCCTTTTTAATTTGGTACACCAAAATTCAACTTGGAAAATATTTTAAGGTTATTAATGTCCAAACATTCATAAATTATCAGTAACCATGAATAAAGTCCATTAACACCAAAGTTGTAATAAATAATTGTTCTCAACTTAGCTTAGATTGTGTCGTATCATGAATAAAAACTTTTTACAAATTAGATAAGTAATCAACATGAATGCTTCGTTTGCTTCGTTAACATTGTAGTAAAGCCGTAAAGAGATAATTAATGGTGATTACTACAATATATTATTTTTATAAATTTCTTTTAATACATTTATCATGCTTAAAATAAATGTTCCACTAGTAATAACTAAAGTTTAAATTTCACATATAATTTATGTGGGCTGTAATTTTTATCAAATTATATAATAATCAATGGATTAAGTATTTCTACGCATTATGTAATTGTAGTTAAATTCCAGCAACATTTTGTGCTCTGTTTTGGTCATATTACGTACTACAATGATGCTACAGTATCCGTTCTCACTCCCCAGATCGCTCGCATAAACTACGCAATGAGTACGTTGCCGGTGGCGTTTGAAGTATGTGCTAGGACCAACATGCTGGAAGCGAGTATAGGCACTGGGCGAATTGTGATTGAAATCGGCCGGTGTACAGCGTCCTCCATTTTAACACATTTCACATCAAAACGATTGAATTGAATATTTTGAATTTAAGAATAAAAGATCGATAAAATCCACAAAATGTTTTCTTTTTAGGGTTCCGTACCCAAAAGGTAAAACGGGACACTATTATTAAGACTCCACTGTATGTCTGTCTGTCCGTCCATCTGTCTGTTCATCTATCACCAGGCTGTAATGTGATAGTTAGACAGTTGAAATATTCACAGATAATGTATTTCTGTTGTCGCTATAACGACATATACTAAAAATAAGAAAAAAAAATTAAGAGGGGCGCCCGCACCACAGATGATTTTTGCCGATTTTATAGATAATAGTACGGAACCCTACGTGCACGAGTCCGACTCGCAATTGTTTTACTTTTAACATGCACAATGGACTAGTACACGAGCCAGGTTTTGTGTGACAATAATAATTGTTCCAGATGTAGGTGTTTAATCCCGAGGAGGGTTGACGTCACGCAAACGGCTGGTAAGAATGAAGATGAAATACAAAATTTAATGTTTGTACATAATCGTTGGCGCATCTATTGTGGTCGAGCCACGTCTTGACCGATAGAGATTATATTCAAACAATAGTTTTGTTTAATCTAGACAACGGCTGATAGCTATACTTAGAAAAGTTTGCACAGCCATTTAGTTATAGAAAAAGTTGGATGTAAAGACAACAGAATATTAAACAAATGCATTTATAGCCAAAAATTTGTAACTGGCCAGTAATGATAAAATTTTATTTCAAATTCTTAATTATTTATATCATCATCATCGGTTAGCTGAATTAATTATAAAAAATATATCTTATGTTTATGTTGAAATATCTAAATATATATTTGTTGAAATATCTAAATATATATTTCTCTCTTTTAACATAAAGTAAATACAAATACCAGTCATGATAATTCTTATAAGCTTTCAATTTTCTTAATACGTTTATGACATTTCCATAGCTGATCTACATTCAAAGTGCTTACAATATACATAGTAATTTTTTAGACGAAGTAAATACTTTGGCATAATGTTAATTAAGCATCCCATACTTTATAATAAATATTTTTTATTTTGACAAGAAATAACCAGAAAAATATCAATTCAAACATTGTTTCTTTATGCCGTTAAGAGTGGTCACCCTTTTGATAAGCGGTTTAGTAATTATGCGTTCAGCGAACAGTTTTAGTACTCGTGAATAGGTTGTTTCATTGAGATAGTAAGCAGGAATTTCTAATAGGGTCTCCATAATGTTTGAAAAAAAATAAAAATAATCTCTGAAAAAAAAAATGAGATTCAGATTTATAATCAAATTCCGCATATGCTCTGCAAATATATCCGTCGTCTATAAAACCAGCCTGTATAATTAAAAGTGCTTACAAATGTCCGTTCTTTCTTATGTAAAGGATGGGTTCCGTGAGTTTGCTTTCATTTTCATCTATCAAAGTTTTAATTGTTAATAAAACTTTGATTGATGAAAATGTCAAGTGCAAATGCAATAAAATAATTAAAAGACAGTAAGTACTAATCGTGGTCTATTAAGACGACCGGTAATATTTTATAGTAAAATGAATAAATTTTAATAAATTATTCAAATTCAAGCAACATACAATGCTGTAGTAAGACGTATAAAACTTTTATTTTCAAAAGTTATAAAATCAAGAGTTATGGTTATCACGTCTATTTAAACTTTTTATTTATCGGTTCGTTTTCAAACTGTGATCTGGTATATTGTTGATATTATTTACCTCTTCAAAGATATTAGACAAATAACACGCTTTTCAAACATTGACGATCCCATCCAAGGAGGCACTCAAGAGAGGCTTGGGATAGAGGATGACAAACAACATAAGTCAATATTGCACCTTATCAATCGATTCGAATATCTGAACCCAAGAAGAGTATAAAAAGGACATGCAATCAAAAACTTGAGTTCGTCTTTTATAGACACTTAAAGAGTAACATTTGTGAATCAAAATGCGTATCTTGTCAATTCTTTTGCTCCTATATTTATTCAGTCAGGTAAGAAATGAAAATCTTCGGCAAATCCCCATATAGGTATTTTTTAGAGCAATGCAGCAGTTTCTACAACTCCATGAGTGATGGTAATCACTTAACATTGGTTGAACCGCATTCTTTATTGATATCTCTTTATTAAAACAAAGTGTAGGTATATGTATAAAATGGTCCATGCAAAAATGTGACGCACATATTCTCACACTCTTATCTTTATTATAAACTAAATAAATGGCGAGTCTTTTTTTTTGTAATTTACTTGTGGTTATCGTTCATTTACGTTTTATAGTTATATAGTTCTATATTTATAGGTGATTAAACTCAGATAATAAAAATCCTTAGGTTTTCCATCTAAAATAACATTGATCGATTTGATAATTCCCGAATCGACACTATCGATATAGATTGAGATGTTTTAAATTTAACGTGCAACAAACTTTCGCAGGAAATACACAGCGAAAGAACTTCAAATGAGCCCGAGCTTGAGGGATCTGCGTTAAAACCGCATCAACTTGAACAATTAACCATAACGGACCTATGGAATCGCGTCAAAAACAGAGCGATACGCGCTTGGGAGGCATTAAAGAATGTCGCCGAGCGATCCGGGAAGAGGATATCGCAGTGGATGAAAAACATCAAGACAAAGGCGAAGAAGCTGAATGCGTTCTTCAAAAGCCGCATCCAGAAAATGAGAAAAGAAGTCAGTGACCTAATAGCGAGCATTAAAAACACAAGCGACCTCGTGAAACAGTGCTTGCAAGTAAGTGATTGACTCTAAATTGTATTAATTTGATGTTTTTAAAATTAAATTTGTTTGAACCTAGCAAATGCGTATTTACCTATTAGAGTATACTGTAATTCGTTAGAAAGGTCACCAATACGTGGAAAAAGCTACAAAAAAACTGTTTTGCTATATCCACATTTGTTTAGAGCGTTGAAGAGGGGCATTTGTTATGAATAGACCGGATCTCCCATAGTAAAAGAAGTTGGAACAATGCCTTGTGCAAATCTTACGTTAACTTATTTCCGTTTCGTTCCATGTTAAAGAATAGATCGATCGTGTATTGTTTTATAGTACCATTTAAACCTTTCAGGAACAACAGGCGGCAATTGACAAAATCCTTAAAGAAATACTCCAGGACGTTACCACTTGCATATCGAAAAACATTCAGTCCCTATCTCTGTTGGAGACAAATGCACAATCGTTCATCGAAAAATCTGAATTCGTAAACAAAGTCGAGAGCAAACTATCACTTTGCCTCAATAATGACGATATTGAACAATGTTTCGACGATGTAAGAATAAACATTTATGAAGATTTAGAACGCGAGGAAAAAGAAATGCTGACGGATGTAAGCTATGACATTACTTTTCCACAACATTAAAGTATTTTACGTCTTACTGTTGGTTATTTAGTGACCTGATATTTCATACAGTATATTGTATCACGGTAATCTTTCTAGTCTTTATAATAATATAAAGAAATAAGATATTATACGAATTGATTAACAATTTATAATAAATTTTATTTACTTTCTTAACAGATGTTTAATTTACTTTACAGAGAGATGAGCTTAGAGCCAAGACAGATGATATTTTGGACACCATTACGACTTGTACTAGCAACGGACTAATCGCGTCATCTGCTGCTATAGCAAATACAACAATTTATATTCTCAAATGTGTCTCAAAAGGATAATTCTTTCATACTCCAGTAATATTAAGATTGTTTCTATAGGTATTTCAAATCTTATAACAAGCAAAATAAAACTGTCATGTAACATGTAGAAGAATTTTATTTCTTAATAACAATAGATATTAACCATGCGCAGTGACAGTTTAACGCGGGCACATAGCAAGTCGACCGCCGTCAACGGGAAGAGTTGCTCCAGTGATATTACTCGCTGCGTCACTAGCCAAAAATATTATGACGGATGCAACTTCCTTACTGTCACCGGCCCTGCCCAACGCATGAGTATCGGCACACTTTCTTGAGAAACTCCTCGTACTGTTTCTCATCCATGCTCGACTTCATATGGATCCCGGTTGTTATCACGCCGGGATTCACCGCATTCACCCTCACTCCTTTGGGAGCCAGCTCGAGGGCAACACACCTAGTAAACTGGTCCAAAGCGGACTTTGACATGCAATACGCTAGAACGTTCGGGAAGGATCTGAGACCGGTCACGCTGGATACATTCACGATCGACCCTTTGGACTTGACGATGTGAGGCGCAGCCAACATCGTGAGATAGTATGGCGCTCGTACATTAGTATTCATAACTCTGTCATATTGCGCTAGTGTAGTATTTTCTATTGATCCGCTTTCTAAAATCCCGGCATTATTGACCAAGATGTCAAGTTTTCCATAAGTGTCGATTGTATGCTTTATAACGTTTTCCACATCCGCCTCTACATTCATGTCAGCGATAACGACCACAGGGTTCTGGTTGCTTGGAGAACCAAATTCGCACTGTTTGGCAACCTTATCCAGGTTTTCTTTGTTTCTACCGGTTATTACTAGCTTCGCGTTGAGTTTGGCAAACTCGATGGCAGTTTCTGCACCGATGCCGGAGCTAGCTCCTGTTACGAGCACCACTTTATCCGCGAACATTGTACCTGTTTTTTTTAAATTATACACTTCATTATTTTATTTAAAATTAGATCCGACCTGTATATTAAACACGTATTTTAGAATAAACATCGAAAAGTCAGACATAATCCTCAAATAAAGTTTTAATACTTCTTCCAACTTTACAACGAATTATGAATTCAGTCGTTTTGTATTAGTAATTGATTTAATGTTAACACACAACAAACAACTTGTTTAACCAAGTTATCATTGAATAAAGACGATATTTGAAATCGGAACAAAATGTCAAATAAAACTAATACGATTGCCCCAAAACTAATTAAACTAAGTTGAGTCACAGTTTTCGAAATAATAAAAGTACAACTAAATTGTTTAACGTTTAATCCTATAACAAACAACAAAATTAAAAAATAAATTATCGTGGGCACATAGCGTGTCGTCCGCCATCAACAGGTAGGGTAGCGCCAGTTATATTACTAGCGGCGTCGCTAGCTAAGAAAATTATGACTGAGGAGACCTCCTTGCTGACTCCCGGTCTCCCAAGAGCATGAGTCTGTTCGCACCTCTTCAAGTAGTCCTTATACTCATCTTCTGTCATGCTTCCCTTTAAATGTATGCCGGTAGTAATAACACCAGGGTCAACAGCATTGACTCTAACCCCTTTTGGACCCAATTCTAGCGCAACACATCTCGTGAATTGATCTAAAGCCGATTTCGACATACAATAAGCGAGGATATTGGGGAATGATCTCAATCCAGCAACGCTTGACACATTTACTATGGTTCCTTTGCTTTCTATGAGGTACGGTGTTGCTAGCATTGTTACGTAATACGGACCGCGAACATTTGTAGTCATTATTCTGTCGTATTGGCCTATACTAGTAGTTTCGATTGATCCGCCTTCTAAAATACCAGCATTATTAATAAGCACGTCTAATCTGCTATAATGCTCTATTGTTTTTTTAATGATATTTTCTATATCTTCTTCTTTATTTAGGTCACCAACAATAACCAATGGCGTTAATCGTGTCGGAGAATTTTGCACACACTGTGTAGCTACTTTGTCCAGATTCACTTTATTGCGCCCGTTTAGAACTAATTCTGCATTTAATTTAGCAAAATCTACAGCTGTTGCAGCCCCGATCCCCGCACTCGCACCGGTGATAAGAACAACTTTACCCGTAAACATTTTGGATCGCCTAAACAAGAAAAACGACATAAAATAAATTATTGCATAATACTTATATATTAAAATTATATAATATCGCCTATTAAACTGAGATTCCTAACATGTCAAGGTCAGATCACAAACATATTACTAATTATGATCGTCACATACTTTATACGTTCTTTTCTTGCATTCAAATATTTATGTGACTAGATATCGATTTTTTCATTATAAAAACATCTATTGAAAAAATCCAAAGTTGACTTTAAACAAATAATATTAACTTTCGAATTTTGTATATGTATGTAAACTATTTAGTAATCAAACAAATGCCAAGATTGCACAACTAGGAATCTTTTTATTTTACTTTCACAAAAGTAAATAATATATAACAATGAAAACACAGACCTTAGATATTAGAGATTATATTTTATCGTGAGTGACACTAGCTGGAATGCAATCGACGAGACGAATCGCGAATGGAAATGGAATATGGATTCACTTTTGTAACTTTTGTTACACTTACATTGTACAGATTAAAAAAGTGTAGCTCATAGTACTTTTTTAATTAAAAATATTCTATTTATATTTTAAATTTTTTGAATGTTTTAATTATATCAATATACCTTTCTTTTTAGAATAACTTTTTTTTATTTACAGGATGTAATTTTAATTTATTTTCATTTGGTAGTAATTAAGTCAAGATTTTTTACCTAACTAACTGTTTCTTTTACACCAATTTCACTGCTATGATCATTACTCCCTAGTAACCAGCACAAAATTAAAAATCATAATATTTTTTTATATGTACCATCAGGTACGGAATAGAGAAAACTTGTTTTCTCTATTTCCTTGCCATCGGTAATCTGTGGCCTGCCGCCTAACCTAAAGCCCCACGACCCCTTATTAAAATAAATACAACTGTCAAAAGATTTTAATGAATACTGAATAGTATTGATTAAAACGATTTTTAATTGTGTCCGTCGTTATAATTATTTAACTGTATCAGTGCATTTGTTAAGATTATTTAGAAATACTTCAAAAATGTCTTCCATACCATCAACGGCTAAGGACGATTCCTTCGACGATTTTTACACTGAGGTATAATAACCAAGTTTCTTTAAAATACGTATTTTAAGATTTTCTAAGACCACCATACTTAAATTACAGACTTGTGATGATTAAATATGTTAATATTTAATCCAATTGACAGGTTATTTGTTTTAAAGCATATAATAAAATGTTATTGGTTGTTTATAAAATTATGTAGCCAAATTTGCTATTACTAACTAGTTTTAGATAGACGTATGATATGAAAGAGCTTTTGTATATTGTGTACAATATCAATTACACTCACTGTAAAAAAAGTAAACTCTAAATCCCATTGTATGTTGCCCCCAGCTGCTTGCTATTATTATTAAATAATTGTAACCAATCCAAAAGTTTTATTCTTAATTTATCAGATCATAGTAAATTACACTTATTTACAAATTACGCAAATGTCTGGTATATTTTTGTTAAAATTAATGGCTAATATTCTGAACAGTACGTCTCGTTTTTCAAGCTAGAAAAAAATTTTAATCTATAGAGACATGTTAATAATTACATATTATATAAGTTATAATCAATGAAAACCACTAGATTATGAGGAAAAAATTAACAAAGTTTTTAAATTTCATACAACTGAAAACCGTCATTACTGTGCGTCCATTATTCATTATAGACTATTATTTTAAGTTAAAAACATACGTTTCACTTTTTACGTTGTAAGAAGACACAAATACACAGATATATCACAAAAACACAAGTTTCTACTTCATGAACATGTATTATTAACAATTTCTAATATTTAAAATTTGTGACTTAGTGTACACTTAATGTCTCGAATATTAGGTTCAAAATGAGTCACAGATCCGACACAGAGCGATCCGACTCGGATAGTTTAGGTTAGAAGGTTAAGGCGGGAGAGCGAAGCTCCCGCTTTAACCTTCGTTGTTAGGTTTTTTTTTTATGACCACTCAGAAAACTTTAGTGTAACAGTACTTTTAGTATTTTTAAAGACTTTTTTAATAATGCGAAGGTTATAATTTAGAAAAGTGTGTGAATTCGTAAATTTATACATGTTGTCAAACACAAAATGGCGGATTTATTTAGTGAAAATAACTTTACTAAGTTTTAAATATTTTTTTTATTAAAAGTAAGTGTTTGCCTTGGTTTTCACGGATGTAATATTTAATTATTAACATTTCTCTATCGATTAAAATTTTTTTCTAGCTTGAAAAACGAGACGTACTGTTCGGAATTTTTACCAAATTAATTCATATACACCTAAGGAAATTCTGATGCAATTAAATATGAGTAACTACTTGATACTTTTGCTTAGATACCAAGTAGTTATAGCATAGAGTTGGATAATACTTTTAGATTTGAATTTAATCAGACAGAACAAAATTAATGTTCATTGACTGAATGCAACATAGCTGATTAGTAGCACATGATGCTATTCAATGGTATTTGATAGGAACATTAACTGAGCATTCAGTTCTATAACAATAACAAATTAAATGAGTTTAGAAGTTCGGCAGCAATTCCATAACAACAAATTTTTTTTTTTAAATTAAAATCAAGTTGTGATGTTGGTGTCATAGCATGTAATAACAATAATAATAGTAATTTGAAAGGTGTACTCATTATACTGTGCCACAAGAAAACAAATGTTCTAACCATAAATGGTGGAAAAATAAAAATGTCCGAAATATTTTGGGGCTTTTATGCTAAGGTATTGCTTCTGAACTAAAAGCTCAAACAAGGCCTATTTTATACCACAGAATTGAAACCCATGAAATAAGTCTTAAAAGTATCAATATGAGTAAGTATCAATGCTTTAGTAATACTTGTATTGAAAAATGATTTTGTGTTCTACTTATATGAGTAAGTATCAATAGATTGTGGATATCAGTATGATAAAAGTAGGTATCCATTAAATTTAAAAGCCTAAATGAAACAGAAAAATCTTATCCTGTGTTATGAGGATGTTTTAGAAACTTCACATGTAAAAACACCAAAATTCTAAACAATTAACTGTGGGTCACACAATAGTAATCCCATGTGGGAATTGGACTCACAGCCGCAGCACCAAAAACTAAACCTTGGCAACTGCTTTACAAACTTATCATTTAACATTGTAGATTTTAATTTGTATTCAGTTAAAATGTATAAAATTTAAATGAATAAACTGTTCAAAAAATGCCATTGTCTTATAAAATGTTGTCTTGTTTTAGGTGAAAGAAATAGAGAAGAGGGACTCTGTGCTGACTCCAAAACAACAAATTGAAAGGCTTTTGCGTCCGGGTTCTACATATTTCAATCTCAACCCATTTGAAGTCCTACAAGTTGAATGTGACGCAACACTAGAAGAAATCAAACGGAAATATCGGAGACTGTCTATTCTTGTTCATCCGGACAAGAATATGGTAAGTGAAATTGATGAAAAAAAAAATATTTTTTATACATAAATATATGAATGGGACTGTTGTATGCTATAAATTTAACACACTCTACCATAATTTTAAAAGTAGGTATTTGGGGGAATTAAATTGGTGCTTTAATTAAAAATCACCTTCAATCCGTTTGTCTCTAAGCAAACCACTTTTAATATCTAGTTTTCTATTTATATACATATATGTACATGCATGCATGTCACATACAGTTTTACAGTTTATAGACACTGTTCTTTGATATGATATTGTGCAACATTTTTAATGTCTCCCTACTAAATCACATTATCAATAGAATATTTATCATAATAAATATGTATTGACTTTTTCATATATTTCATTACTCAATTTAAGAGCAAAATCGCCATCTATCAATCAGATCCTAGCCATGTAGTTGAGACGGTTACCCCCGTCAATCTTTCATTTTTATCCACAGATGGGATCGAAAGCGTACCACAGAGGCCCTGATGCAGCAATGCTATAGGTAAGGTACGATATGGAACAAATGCATGGATGAATGGTGATGAAGAAACTTCAAATGTTTCTGTGAAATAAGTGGCAATTTTGTGAAGTGGACACAAGATAATTGTTCTCACATCATAATATCCCATTGATTGGTTTAAAATTGATTAAATTTGTTAATTTACTACTCTAACACACTACAAACATTATTCAAAATTAGTTCACTATACTGAATGATAGTTTTGATAATTGTATGGATATAAATTTTGTATAATTTGCATTTAAATTTTATTGGACCTTTTATTATACATTAATTTCTTTTTATAGAAATAGTACAATTAAGCTTTTTTTATGTAGTTGTAATAAAATATTTTAGAACTAATTATACTACTATTAATAAAAATGAAACATTAATTGAATGTGCATGCTAAACATGAAGTACTTCATGTATTTAAAAATCTATATTTATAGTAAATAAACAGGATAAAGTCAAATAAGTTTAACATATAATATAATAAATTTGAAGTGCACCTTTAAAAAAAATTATTTAATATGGCAATTTCTTGTGTTCCTGTGACAAAATTCACCACTTAGATTACATAAACTGTGAACTTAGTCATTTTTTTAGTAAAATTGGGCCTACAAAACGTTTAGTAGAATTGGGAAACTCACATCCACTCAAAGAGCATATCACAAGCATATGATTATGAATGTTCTGTTCATTTGCAGGATGACTCCGAAAGGGCCCAGCAAGCATTCGAAATTGTTAACAGGTCTTGGAAGATACTGGAAAATGAGGACACAAGAAAGAAATGTCTGGACGTTTATCAAGAGGCAAAAGAGAGAACTGATCACATGGTAAGTAACTTTAAACATTTACATTGCAAATTATGCCACTGTTGAATGGCAGAATCATTGCCATTTGTTAAAAATAAAGGCTCCGATTATCTCTCCAAACAAGTCTTTACTGCCAATTCTGTATGAATTATCTTGTAGTATAAGTAATCCTGTTTTAACTCAAAATCATATTATTGTTACTCCTTCTATTCTCAATAACTCATTATTCATCTCTATTATTTAAAAATGAATCGCTGAATGTGTTGCTAAGCACAAATCTCGAAGATGGCTGTACCAATTTCCCTAATTCTTTTTTTATAACCTTCCTTGAATTAAGTGGATGGTTCTTACAGAGAAAAATTTAAAAAATTGCCCGACAAAGTCTAAAAACAACACATTTCTATATTCCTTTTATATATTCATAATAATATTTAAGTCAATTTGAACTTTAATACCATAACATAAAGTTGTAAGTGTTAGTGAAAGGGTTCAGGGAAGGCAAAACAAATGAATGACTGTGGTAAAATGTCACTTGAAATGTAAACGTCTCTTTGCTGTGCATTCCTATATAGTATAAAACAAAGTCTTCCCTCTGTCTGTCTGTCCCTATTTTGATGCGGTTCTTTTTTTACTAGATAGAGTGATTCAAGAGGAAGGTTCATATGTATAATACATTGCACCCGTGTGAAGCCGGGGCAGATTGCTAGTTTTATATAGATATTAGATTAAGCTATAGTAGCTATAGTAGTAGAATCAAGCAATCTGAGTATCTTGTATTTGACCAAGAGTGAGTAATCTTGGTATTTGACCAAGCAATGAAATGGTGCTCAGTGGCGAAAGAAAAAGTCCTGAAGTGACTTGCATATCTAAGATGTAATTACATGCCACCAAGTCATCTACCATCGTATAATATGAATTAGTACTTTGTAATTTTTTTGTTTGTTTACCCATAAGGCATTTATTTCTTCACATACCCTCGACTCCTAGAGTAAACTCGTAGTTTGTGCAAAATTCACATTTACCTTTCATGTAGGATCCACAAATCCACAAAGATGAGATATCTCAGACTATAACTTCACATTAGGCATTTTTTAGGCCGACAAACATGAAATGCACACATTGTACATTGTTTCGTAAAGAAAAATTACCGATCGCCATTTCAGATCGAGCAAAAGCGCAAGAAATTCAAAAAAGAAGGCCGCTTGTCTGAAGGCATACCAGAGGATGACCCCGCCAAGTACAAACATGCAGTATATGTTATGACCATGAAGGTATTTACTACCATTTGCTAATCTTACTCCATTTCGTTACTCTCAACAATCTTTAAACATCTGGAACTATTTGGTTTTTTTTTATATTTGTTATTCCAAAAACAATATGTTTTTGAGTAATTTATAAATTGGTTAATTAAAACTTCCCTTTATGAATGCACAAAAATTACTTGCCTACATCAAATTATTAAATACATTACATACAACTGTTGTATTTACAAGTTGTCATCTTAAGACATAAATCATAATGTCTGTTATCCAGTTGTAATAAATCTTATAAATTACTGTCATAGAATACTAATTTGTATGAACCAAATAATTTGGCCTCAGAGCCATGCAATTTTAATCTTATATATAAAATTCTCGTGTCACGGGGTTCGAACTTGAACTCCCCCGAAACGGCTCGACCGATTTTTGTGATCCTTAGCGTGATTGTCGGCCAGGGTGGAGAATCGGCCAACATCTATTTTTCATCCCCCTAAATGTTAAGGGTAGTCCACCCCTAATTTTTTTTATTTTTTAGGCAAATTTTTTGTTTTTATTTTTTTATGACACAGCATACAAAAATACATACAACCCTAAATTTTCACCCCTCTACGCAGACGTAGTCGCGGGCGGCAGCTAGTCTTATTATATAATAAGACATTTAGGAATATTACTTTCGCCGAGTAGAGGTCAGCTAAGAACGGATTTTACGAAATTCCACAAAACAACATTTGCTGGATCAGATAGTTACTTATGTATAAAATTCTCAGTTATTTGCTGATATGGAGCGAAAGCGGCAGCACCTAGAAACTCGAGATATGGAGGAGAGGAAACGTAAGCGAGAGGCCGAAATCGAGCAAGAGGAGCAACTATCCTTTGAAAAGGAGTGGGCTAAAAATTTTGAGGTAATTACAGTTATACCTAAAAATAGCCTACCAGAATCTTCTACCACATGGTTCCTAACAAAATAATAGTAAGTAAGTAAAGTAACAACATTGGAGAAATTTTATCCTTATTTTGTTTGCAAAATTTTCGTATTGTGTGTGAAAGAGTCAAGTTTTAATACTATACTATTGTATAAAGTTTGTGCAAGTTAATATCATAAAAGCATGCAAAATATTTTATTATTATGATATTTATGCTGCTGGCTTTGTCCCACCCAAAGATATTTGTGCAACCCAAAGATATTTGTTTAAAGTTCTAGCTGTTTGTCTATGTGAAATTTGTATTTTGTAAAAAATCGGAAGCACAGGATAATAGTATCGTACAGAATGAGAACACCTGTCAAGTGCGAGTCGGACTCGCGCATGAAGGGTTCCGTACCATTATCTATAAAAACGGCAAAAATGTCATGTCTGTTGTATGTAAGCACCACTTAAATGATTTTTTTATTCTATTTTTTAGTATTTGTTGTTATAGCGGCAACCGAAATACATCATCTGTGAAAATTTCATCTAACTACCACGGTTCATGATATACAGCTTGGTGACAGATGGACAGACAGACAGTAGAGCCTTAGTAATAGGGTCTCATTTTACCCTTAGAATAAAATAAGAAAACTATCACCCACAAAACTAATTTGCTCTTTTATGCAACTTCACAGGAATCTCGACAAAACCGCGTTGATAGTTGGAAAAGCTTCCAATCGGGCAGCAAAGAAAAGAAGAAGAAGAAGATAATGGGCTTCAAACCGCCCAAACCCAAACCGGAGAGTAGATAATTATGCATACTAACTTAATGCATTAATATTCCTTTGTTTCTAAGATACTTTAGCTTAAAACACGACGTTGGTTTTCAAATTTATACAAATTAAAAAAATTGTGTAGATGATATCGGACTATTGCATACATTATAAGTATTGTTTTTTTTTATTAAAGTATTTTGCTCGAATTTAGGGAATAAATGCGAAAAACAAAATTCCCATTTACTTTTTTTTACTAATTCCCATTTCAATGTAGTGTCGCTACATAGAAGTAATGTTTTCTTTCAATATATTGATGAGATATATTTTAAGACAAAAAAGGGTAAACAATCTTTTTAACTAGTGACGGGTATATTATTTGTGTAAATTACATGTGGTGACTGAAAAATTCACGATCTGGATTTTAACTATAATTAAGCAAAGACTACTTTCTATTTGTTTGTGTACATTTGAAAACCTCTAGTTTTCTCATTGCCCTTTCGTGATGGGGCATGTCGCCTGAGGTTTTAGTTTTAATTTCAACTTAGTGATAAAATGCACTCGGGGGCAGAATTGATTTCTGTTAGCCCGTAAGGATTTGTTTCGCCGTTACCAAGACACTCAAGCATGTTTTTGTTTCTATTTGGTTAACGACAAGCATCCAATGTGATATTCATTCACTATTGTACTATCTACATAAATTTTCATCTATACTTATGATTTATAAACCATAAACACTAAAATGTCGTTTTAATACCCTTTAATAATTTACCTAATGAATAAAATATATTTAAAATGTGAAAAGTCAGTGTTATATTTTTCATGAATCGAGACGGGAAATGGAAATTTCGAGAAATTGTACATTTATGCGAAATTGTATGTAGTGACAGCTACAGAGTCATACATATTTTATTCAATTTATATGTGACATGTATTGTTGTATGGATGTGCTTGTAGTGCAAAGTTGTATTATTAGGATAATTAGTCTGAGATCTCTGCCTACACCTTTGTTACTGGCGTGTTTTTGTTTCAATCGGCTTCTTGTCGGCTAATTGTTTTACAAATGAAGACATGGAGAAAACGTAGTTAGTGGTCTAACTTAATTGTGGTTAACAACTAATAGACTTCTCTGAGAGTCGCCCTTATTATGTGCGATATAATCACCGGGTCATTTCTGTAATAGTTAAAACCGACCAAGTGCAATACATCATCTGTGACAATTTCAACCGTCAAACTAACGGTTCATAAGATACAGCATGGTGACAGACAGACAGCGGAGCCTTAGTAATAGGGTCCCGTTTTTCCCTTTGGGTACGGAACTCTAAAAAGGCCGTATTATATGAATATCGCCTTTTTCTTCACTCATCACTAACTTAATCATAATTATCTAGTGGGGCTGTACTCTGTATTTATAATCGATTTACTTTATAAATACTAGGTTATTAATATTATTTTAACAAGTTTAGGTACTAATCTAGAATTAGTTTTAAGAAACAGTATGAAATTTAAGTATTCCGTAGAAATAACAGTATAATTTTTTACTTATATTTGGTGAATTATTAAATACGAGTAAGGGAGCCTAAAATTTGTGTCGGATCGTGACCAAGTTTGTTGAATGTTTTCGCTTTCGTGTTCACAAAACTAAACGAAAGTGTTGCAAGACTGCATAAACTTAAACTAGTAAATCGAGGAAGACGGTCGTTGTTTTTTTATTGTTTCCATTGAGACTGACCAAAATTTTAGGTACAGTTTTAACAAGACTAACTTTGTCTCGGCTTGCTTTAGACTGCTATCTATTAATTCTTTTTAAATTATTCTTCACTATTTTTATAAATCTTTACTAATGTTATAAACGCGAAAGTTTGTATGTATGGATGGATGTTTGTTACTCTTTCACGCAAAAACTACTGAATAGATTTTAATGAAACTAAAATAATATAGATCACACATCAGAATAACGCATAGGCTATAATTTATAAAGATATTGTGCGAATTGTCCAAAAATATAGGTATGTGAGTTGGCAAGCGAGATGGCGGTTCTCCTGATGTTTGTAGTGACAACCGCTGCCCATGGATATTTGACACACCCGTAGGGTTGTAGATGCATTGTTACTTTTTAATAAAGTGGGCCCCGGCTACGTCACTCACCAGACGAAACGCAGAAAGATAACACTTTCTCTTAACGCCGGCCTTCTGTATGGTCGTTTTGCTTACCCGGACGGACCTGCCCAATCGCGCAGCAACCGTACCTTGAATGGTTATAACCGGTTCATTTTTTAATGTTAGACAGTGTATCTGCAATCCGTCAATTATTGTCCAATGTCCATAGACGGAGACAATTAATTAACATCAGATGAACCGCCTGCTAGCTTACCAACTTTTCACATAAAAAAGTTTTTAATACCGAACAACAAATGTTTCGGTTCCGGCTGAAACTAAAACAGAAACTGCATTTTTGCTATTAATATCAATTTCGCCAGAAAAATCTCTGTTTAAAAATAATCACACAGTGATTATTTTCTTTGGTGTTTCGATTTGCGAATGTCGCGCAAGCCTGGACGGTTGTTTTCCAAGCTCCGGTCTCTTATTCACCCACTTGGCGTGATATAACCAAGTGGTCGATGATTTAGATATTAACTAATTAAGTCAATCTTGAAAACACCGTAATGGCAAATAATCCGTTTAATTCCTAAACACAAAGGCTAAATAGAGGAGCAGTTTCCATGTCCTTCAGCTAATCATCGGGCTCTATGCAGGTCTCGACCATGTCGCTGGGAGGGCCCGGTTGCTTGGGCGGCGAACAGTTCAGGTATATACTGTCCGTGTATAGCGCCAATCCAAACGAGAACAGCCACCTGCAAATGACGGTTAGGAATCCTTTCACTTTTCAAGTTCAACTAAGTCAGTAGGCGCTTATTAATCAAAAAACATCTTAGGATATACCTATATACAAATATCAGAACAAAATTAAGAATGTTAGCAATAAAATTCCACCAGATTAAAAAATCAATATTACGTTAAACCAATTCAAAGGAAAAATTTCTAAGCATATACCACGGCAGGCCAGTTCGGAAGCTACACTTTTCGTAACTGTACCTGGAAGCCGGAATAGCATTAGAAAGATCTTTAAGTTATTATACACCAAAATTTAGGGCGATGATACATAGCGCATTTTTATTAAAAATGAAGAACCGATTCGTACCAAGCTATACCAAACACCAGCTGCCTTGTGTACAGTTTTTGTTTCTGAGTGTACCAAGGCTCCCACGGTACACACGGAACCGGCAACTCATTCATGTGCGCGTCGCTTCGTATGTCTGAAATTGACTGAAGAAATCTGTAATTGTCTCGTTGCAACACATCTTACAACGATTGATACGAATGATTTCATTTTACAACTTTGCCACTTTGATTATTTTCATTAATTTTGATTTTTCTATACCGAATAAAATTTTGCTTAGGTCGAAAAACTAATCGAAAATGTTATCAAAAGTTCATATTATGCATGCGCAAGCGTTTTTTTTCTCAACCAAAACACAAATGGAGAGGTTGATTTTATCTGTTATTTTGATTAGAAATTTGCATGATTTCACTTACCAGGTTTGTTACAATATTTTCTGGTGTTTAAAACACTAACAACGGATTTCCGAAGTGAAGATATTTTCAAGCGCATATTTAAGTATTTATAGTGCTAACGAAAACTATTAATAGGTTAATAAATTCGTTGGTTGCTAGGGAACGTGTTCTAGTTTTAATCATACCGTTGACATTAAATGGACTGTATGCAAAAAAATGCTCTATTCAATTCAAGAAACTAACTTAACGAAGACCAGCGTAAAGTAGAAGTTAATACTTTCGCGTTTCGTCTGGCGAGTGAGGTGGCCGGAGCCCAATTTTCAAAAGGTTGTCAACGCATCTGGAACCCTCGGGTGTAGCAGATGTCCATGGCAGGTATTCATTCAACATCAAGTGAACTTTTCACATTAAAAAAGACACTGAAAACACTAGAGCTCGAACCAAACGCAGTACCTCTACAGTTGTCTCAGAAGTTCAATGAATGAATGTTCGTTGTAATCTCAGAAGGTTAACGTTCTGTACATAAGTAAGGTTCTATATATAAGTAGGACAAATATTAATAATTTCTCAATTTAAATATTGATATGGATAAGTTGTGAAACCATTGTTCAACCTATTCGATTTTTCCGCACTTTGCTACTTTAATCTCCACTAACCTGTAATGTAATTGATCCCTGTTATCAGATTTTAAGTAAGTATACTTGCTAAAATTTGCTTGCTTCATAAATTAAATTAAAACCTATATAACTTGAGGTGCCTTTTCTTGAAAAAAAAAGAAAACTTCATAAGCCATATAAGATAGTTTTAAGAAGCTTAACCTATTCAGATTTGTAGTCGTGAATAGTTCCTAATTTCACTCGGCACACAGTATCACATATAGATATATTTGTAAAACCTTGGAGGCAATCATAAAGAATTTATATGATTACGCAAATTTTATGCAATATGGTTCAATAAAAATTATCTTTTCACGGAGTTCTGCAGTATACCTACGTCCTTCAAATTTATATAAATTATCGATATAAACTTCGAACTTATTCATTTTGTAATATATGGAATAAATATATTTTTTTAGCCGGTGGAAACCGAATTTTTTGCCACATTACCGAAACTAATTCATAAAATAAAACTATCACTTCACGGTTTATATCAGTTACATTTACTGCTACTAGATGGCGTGTCGCGGCCTTATTTTTGGTTGTTTTCATATTTCAAATCAACAGTTTTTCAGTTATGATACGTTATTAAAATGTAAATTGGTTAAAAAAATCAGCCTGCAAAAACTGCAATGCCATCATTTACTTAAAATGATTAGTGCACATGAATAATTCCACCGGTTTAATTTGCAACAGTCTGTGATGAAGTTAATCAACCTTTTTAATCTCTATTATCTTGAAGTCTTCTAGCTGTTTTTAAAGCCCTAAAATACCAAGTGAACAAGTAACATGTGAACTTGTGTTAGGAATAGTTATTTTTTTATTTATATAAGTAATACAGTTTACAAACATAATTATATTAAATATATAATATTATTAGACATTTAACACCTTAAAATACATTTCTCTTTGCATATCGAAAGTGTAGAGACTTCGTTAGAACCTTGTTTACTCTCAGCAAAAAAAATAACGATATTTTCATTGCATTCGAATCAGTCACCTGCTTTTAATGTTATTAGAGTAACGGATATTTAAAGGTCAACATGAAGTAATACGACAAAATATAAACAAGTTTATCTATTTTGCAAATTGTATAAGTACATTTAATTGTTGTTTTTCGTTCATATCTCTCATTCTGCATAGTTTTATAACTTATTAGGTGTTTTTACCTTTTTTGATTCATTTTGTAAAAGTTTTTTTTTTAACAATTACTTAAATTTCTATCCCTTGAAGTGAGTGAGTACTACAGTACTTATACATTTAAACAGTTTACTATGTTAAAATACTATTAAGTGAATTGCCGTAGAAACCAGCTTAAGTAATGTTGTAGAGCCATTCTTCGAATGATTTCAGAATATTAAGAAGTTAATAATATCATCCGGCTATAGGGAACCAAATCATAAAGTTTAGCTGAACGATAAAAAACTTGATATAATGCAGAGGCAATAAAAATCTTTATCATATAACTGTAAAGTATTCGAAAAGTTTGTCTATAAAAATACAATGCGTAATGTATGAAATACCATACTTGAGAACTGGAAATTCTTTGTTCTCGTTACAAGAATTTTTAAAGGAATCATTTTTTATTACATTAAGAAGTTACTTTTCATTATAAGGTTGAAGTTGAGGTCTTTTAAAATGAAGAGCAAATAATTGAGAACTAGTCGTAAGGACATTGTGTAGGTACTCATTTCTGAATATATTTTGATATAATATTTTTAACAAAAAACCTAATGAGTAAATACAGCCAAGATCTGACTGACTGACTGACCATCTTCTAGATCTTGTGATATTAATCTGACAGATTACATGACATAACTTTTACACCTTTCGTTCAGTTTGACTATCACAATGATAATGTGGATATCATATGGTTTAAGCACGTAAGAAATCCGAAAATAAAAATTTAATAGGTGCATTTTTTTCTCACAATTGCTTACAAACCAAACAGTAATTTCTCAACTTTTGAATATTGACAAGTACATATTCAGGAATACTTGTTTTTATTTAATAAGCGCCTTAAATAACATAGTGCGTGTAATAACTAGCATCTTCATATTATGTTTTTAATTTACTTTATAGAAGTTCAACTTTGGAAAAGTGGGGGCATAAATGAAACAACAAATGAAATTTTGAAAACAATATCAAATTTAATACATAAATAATATTTATGTACCTCTACATACATGTTCTTGTCTATATATTTACATTAAACACATATTTTGTCCTAACTTAATGGTAAATTTTTTTCACAATTCGTCGAAATAATTTCCCTAATAATTGATAATAAGCGACCGTATATAAAGAAAAAAGAAAACATTAACGTAGTCAACAATACGGTCGACTTTCGATTATTTGATGATACAAACATAGAAAACTCCGAACGACCTACAAAATAATTTAATTACATCGCACCGTAGGCGATTTCCACTCAACGTCACAGATAGTGACCGTGGCCTATATAAAATATAACCTCTATCGCCTAAATACAATCCCGCAAGCGTCAAACATTTACGCGATACTATCGAATGCCCATACAATAAAGGTATCACGGCTTGCTGTTGCAGACGCGTTTTCTTCTCGAAAATTCTGCTTGGAAGTAAAATATAGGTACTTCGAAACATTTCGCCCCGTTAGAGGACTCGTAAAATTTTTGTTTCCGCAAGAAAACGCACCGAAACAAAGTTACGTTACAAAGCTTAATCTAACATTTGCTCGATACGATGGCGTTACGTTTCGCAATATGCACAAAAACCAGAAACATCTGTAAACCGCGCTCGGACCTATAGCGTGCCGCACCAAATTTTGTTCCCTCGATAGGTTTTGTGCCTCTAACTAACTGTTGTCCTAAAGACGAAACGCTAATTCTAAGCGAGGCTCGCTGCGAATCCTACGGTTCGTTAAACAGTAAATCCTTTCATGCTGTTTAGTTTCTGCTTTAAACAATTAGAAAAATATTCGTAACAAGGTGCAGCTAGCGATGTTACACTCGAATTAATCCTAGTGCGGATTTCTCGCCCCCCACGTATAATTGACCGCCAACGTCGACTCGCGTCCCATTAAATTACGACTACACTAATTACGTTTCAACAACCAGGAGGATATATTAACTATGCTTAACAACGATCATGAGATACCACAGTGTTGGGCGTCTACAGCACATTAGGTGCGCTACAAGTGTACAAATATTTGGCAAACGTCACTACAATTATCCCTTGGGGCGTGTTCACACGCGCATCAGCCGAACAAAATCCCCACGTGGCCAGTGAAAACCTCCTTTGATCGCTACAGCGGACGCACGTGTGAACACGCCCCTATCTAAACAATAACGATGTCCAACATCCATGTACCGATAACACGACTTTAAGTCTACGAATAGTTTTACGCGCTAATTATCTATCTACATTTTTTTTATCTCTTACTAGTATATTAACTGTGATCCAAACGCTCGTACAAACACCCATTAATGTTCGGACGTCCGAAAAATTGGCTTCCGGGAGTGAGCTATCAACAGATATCTATAGCACCAACATCAGCTGCGATAACGCTATACAACAACAACAAAAAAAAAACAAAGCGATGAATGCACTCGACAACGATTTGAACACTGCAAACGAGACGGGGCCGAAATTCGATGGTTCCTACTTCACAATTCATGGACGCCAAACATTACGAGAATTGACTTAAGGTAAACGTACTAAATTGAACACTTATTGGCTAATTCTATCACATACAGTCCACTGAGGTAATTCACAGAACGTCCATTTTTGTCTTCGCTATGTTCCAACAGGCTAGTCATAACTAACACACATAGTCTGAGCTTAGTTGACGAAGTAGCTTATTCAAGAAAATTAACATTTTGGACTAGAGATCTGACTATAACGGATTTTTGTTAATGCGTCAACTATCATTTAAAAAAAAAACAGATATAAAAACAAACAAACAAACAGCGAACGCGTCGTTTCGTGTGAACCGCCAGTGGTAAATAAAATCTCTGATATTTACATGTTTTTACTTTAATTCAATTCATCCCACACAACATTTTTAATGTAACAGTGCAGGCGTATGCGAATCTTTAGACAAATTATTCAGTAGGATCGTCAATAGATTAATAATAATCAATCCTTTCCATTGCGGCATAAACTAATTTTGCTAAGAAGGGAAAAGTTTTGCTTACTATACACGTGTCAATAATTCCTCGTAATATACGTATAAAGCAACGTTGAGTTCATCCATAATTTTGTCACACGCATAGAAATAATAAAGTTTCGTTTACGTTTAAAAATAATCAAAAACAAATATGCCAACAGGTAATAGACGCAAGATGTGACAGCGCCATACATCTAGAAGGGAAGACCGTAGTCTGTCCCAAGTGCAATTCCTTCTAGAAGAAATTTTTCCAATATCAATCGTCATTGCTTCAGCGGTTGGCGTTTCGTTGACGTTTTCTTTGAATACATCAGAGAAAAGAGTTTATATGTACAACCATGAGACATTTGGCTCCATCCGTAAGATGGACACGAGGGGACGCACTTTTAACAGTAACAATAACAGTCCCAGGTATCCAAACGATCCATTCCTGGTACTTCTTTATATGACGCTGTCCGCGGTTGTGATGATGCACAAGCACTGCTCACGCCAAAAGTGACTTCAGGCGAAGAGATCGGCGATGACCTGAAACAAGGAAATGAAATTCTTAGTCTTTTAGGAGTTCATTTAGTGCTAATCTGCGCTCTAGATGAAATTTAAATGCGAGCTTAATAGATAAATTATTGTCGAAAAGTTTTTTCATTCTATTTTTTTGGCAGCGTCGAAAGGTTATCGAGCATTTATCCACCAGTCTCACGTTTAAATCTTTAGACATTGTAAGTTGCAAGTGAAAGTACGGAAATCAAAATTGAAAAATTCCGAGCGACATCTGCGTATGTTCAAATATAAAACAATGATTTTAAATCTATCAATTAAACAGCTTATTGCAGTCCACTGCTGGCCTTCCACAATACATAATTTTACCGTGACGTGGTCTCCATTCGAGAACCCGTCTATCTAATTAAACGCTCTTCAATTTTAAAACTGTATACGATCGAAAGTTGCAAAAGATGTAAGTCGATAGTTTTGTGTATTAAGACGTTTTAGTTCGTTGCTAAAATACTTATACACATGCAATAAAGCAGCTAAATTAGTTGGATTTTAAAGTTCTACCCATCTGAGATATTAATAAGAACTAGTGGTCACCGGGTGCTCGAAATTCGACCATAATTATTTATACATTGTAGTGTGTATAATGTTTTTTTATTGATTTAATGTATTTTTTATGCATAATTTATTAAAAATATCAGCGTTCTGCACTCCCTCTCTATATAAACTATAAGTGAGGGAAATTTCATACTCCTCTGTCCGCGCAATTTTCTTAAAAAGGAGCAACAAAGTTTTCGCTTCACGTATATTGAATTCCAATTCAAATATTATCTATATTTGAATTGGAATTCACTGGACTTGAATTGATAAGTGTATCTTGTGAAAATGTAAATGTGATTTGGCCAATCAAAACTAAATCACCCACGACGATAACTGAAATACACCCTTGACTCATCAAAGGAATGGCACCACGAAGAAAACTTTAGTCCATGCATCAAGTTAGTATAAAAAAATGTGCATAACAGGAACCGATTCCTTTGCACCATCAAAAATATAATTTACGATGGCGAGTTAAAAGCCATCGGGGAGTTAAACGTTTTCACGTCGCGTCTAATTGAATTTACGCACGTTACGGAGCTTCATTACACTGCGGTGTCTGTGGCGAGTTGAATCGAGATTTACGCCGTAATTAAATCGTGGAGCGGGCGATAAGGCGGCGGTATCGTTGCGATCGCCGAATTCGTACGGGCGTCTGTGGATGCGGATTATCAGCGTTTCTCGTCGGGGAGCACTTTCCGCTGAGTCGGTGGCGTGTAAATCGTAACCTGCCCGACATAGCGACGCCGGCTTCCCCCCCCCCCCCCCCCCCCCCCCCCCCTCGCCTCGCAGGTGACGACTGCCATAGTGCCGTCGCGACCGCATATCGAGTTTATACGCACTATTTTTTACGATGAAACAAGTTTAATCAGCGACTTTTTATTCGCGTGCTAGTTACCTTTGTAAAAGTAAAGTATATACATGTCCCAATGCTGGGCAAAGGCCTCTGAACCGAGGGTATCAGAGCATAGTCCACCACGCGGCCCCACTGTGGATTGGCGGACTTCACATATCTTCGAATTATTTTTTTTTGTTGTTATTTCGAAAATATGCGGGTTTCCTCACGATGTTCTCCTTCACCGTGGAGCACGTGATAATTCTCTTTGTAATCGCAGTAAAAAGTATTCGGAACGTCGCTTCCACGGCCACGGATTCTGCAAGGTGTTATGTTAATCTGTTTTTTTTTAATAATCTGGAGAGTTTCCTCGTCAATACCAGATTGTTTTATGTTAAAATATCGAATTTCGATAAAATGATTTCAAGTTATGATTGAATGATGAGTTATGGTTGAATGAAATGTTAGTGCCTTGTGAATCTCCTTGTCATTAAAAAATATGTATGTACCGAATAACTAACCTTTTAGTTAGTTTAGTTACTTATTAAAAGAAATTTACATAATAAAAATCATAAAACTTATTCACTACGTATGCCAAAATTTGATTGGAAGAAGAATTGGAATGAACAAGTCTTTTGGGAACGGAACATAATTATGTTTGCAAACCAAAGCTATACCATATGAACATAAGAGTTCGCTATAAAAACTTCCAACGCCGTTATCATAAATAAATTACAATCCAGTTCATTTTGTAAGATATCACTTAAATATTTATAATCTAGAAAATCTTTATTCGTCGGTTATCGATAGAGAATCCTCCGCGTATCGCATCACTGGGTAACCGCGATAAATCTGTCGCATATTCAGCAATGTAACGGACTTTCTCGGCGCGTCTCATTGCTCGGAATAAAGTGCGCCGTTCTTAATATGTGATGTAGATAATTGGCATCCTTTCTCGAAATAAGTTCCACATAAAGCACGGTTAATACGAAAGACGTTTGCTCCTCGAGAAGACGGTCAAATAGAAATAGGAAGACATATAGTAGTGAGACCACTTTCGGGTAGTGATTTTATCGGCTAGCCTGTATTGAGTAATTTAGGACAAATTTATATTTATCACGTTGACCTGTATTCCAGAAGTTGGGATAAACCTCGATTTTTGCCACTTATACGATTGTACGAAAAATCGAAACCGTGAGAAAATGTGCTGGGGTTGAAAACTCGTTTTAAGTCGGCCTGAAATATATTGTTGGAGCATAGTAGTGTCATATGTAAGTGAAGTTTTTTCGTTTTTGCTTTATCTGTCTAGAAGATTTTAAAAAACAGAAATTTGACACCGAGTCAATACTAAATCAGTGACAGGTGTGACTGTAGTGACATATATCCAAAAAAATCAATACCAACTTAAAAATTGAGTTTCCTGACCAAAAATACATTTATGGCTGGCAGTAAGTTTTCTGAATTCGCTCACCCTAGATGACAAAATCGGCGCCGGTATAATATTTCTAGCGAAACTTAATAAAACAACGCACCTTCGAAACGCAGACGCTGTCCAAGTGGTGTATAAAATCCGCCTCTAGCAAATCCACGTAGAACTTTTCCAGAATATTCTCGCCCCAGAACGCAGCGTGACAATAAATCGGGTTTCGGATGTCACGCGCTATAAAGCATAGGCGTCGTCGGTTATCGAGTGATTCCGGCGGGGTGTAAATTTATTCGCTCGGCGGGGGAACGTCGACCTCGCGATATTTGGAGCGCGCTTCCTTCGCGGTCCTCGGTGAGCCCACGCGAATTTGCGAATTTCGTTAGTTTTAGATAGCGGGTGTGTCATCTGATGTAGAGTGAGTACCACGCCCGAAGACTTATATAGTCTTATATATAGTCTTATTTAGTCTTATATATAGACTTATATATAGTCGGGGTACCGTGACCGAAGACTTATATAGTCGGGATAGTTAAACTCCCGTTAAAGTCCCCGGCAAAGCGATAGTGTGTACGTGTAACTCCCGCATGCCCCTGCTGCCTACCCACAAGACAGCGGGGGATAAAGGATTTTTCCCACGTAAAAAAAAAAGCAAACAGTGTTCAGTGCTGGGCGTAAGCCTATCGTAGTAAACACCATATGACTCGACCTTGAACTTCTTATGTTCTTATCTTAGTGTCGAGATGCTGCTGATGAACGGAACTATCCGGAACGAGACCACGAAATCACAGATTATAAGCGTGGACACAGCAACATAGTATTTCGGGTCCATGTAGGGTAAAATGAATTTTATTCTTCATCGTTATCAATCCACTAATTCTCTGTTGGTGATACATGTTGTGAATCTCAGGCACAACTTATCATCAGATGCCTGTTTGCCGTCTAGTATTATGAAAAAAAAAATCATCCGACAAAAAGCGGCTTAGTGCGGTGTAACCGTACGATCGTACGCAACCGTTCCTGCACATATATTTATTAGACGTCATTTATTATGTTTATATATATACATACATATATATATACGCGTCATGTATATATATACGCGTCATGTATATATATATACGCGTCATGTATATATATATGCGCGTCATGACGCCGTATGTCATCTGTTATAGTTCCCCTATCCTATTATTCGTATTCAGCGTTTTACAGAAACAAAAGCGACTGCAAACTAAAATCAGGTCAATCATACATTTTTTGACCTCAAATCAGAATAAAAGAAATTGGAAGATGTCAGAAATATAAGAAAAGTGACAAAAGCAAATAAAAGGAAGCTTGATCAAAAAGATAAAGAGACTTAAGTCAATTACGAAATGGAGCAATAAATTACTAGAGAGTTGGGGGGATTTTAACACAAAAGATAAATATATAGAGAGGAGATAAGTGGGGCCTGTATCGGGAGATAGTCTAATGTTATGGTTTTTGTCGGTGTGAGAAATTTCTTGAAAAAGCTGTATTACCGTCATTGCCGCTTCGAGCTTTGTTTGTAGTGAAGTTAACACTTTCTGAAATGCAGTAATGTCCGAAGTTTTTTTTTTTATGTGAGAAGGTTGTGAGCTGGTGGTTCACCCGATGTTAAGTGATAACTGCCGCCCATGGACATTTGCAAAACGTAAATTGGGCTCTGCTTACGTCACTCACTAGACGAAACGCTGAAGTATGACACTTCAACTTGACGCCGGTCTTCTGTGAAGTCGTGGTACTTCCCCGGACGGACCTGCCCATTCGTGCATCAGCGAAGACGGTTGCATGTCCCTAGCATAGTAGATAATAATAACATTTAGAACACATTTTTACACAAGGTTCTCTAGTCCCAAACTAAGCAACGCTTGTACTATGGGTAGGTACTAGATAACTGATAAACATACTTTTTTTTGTAAATAAATACAAATTAAATATATATAAACACCCAGACACTGGAAAAACCACTATGTTTATTACACAATATTTTTCCAGTAGTGGGGATCGAACACAACATCCTCTGAGAGGCAGGTGTGTTCTTTTCAAAATAAAAAAATATTATTATTACTTTTATAAAATCTAATTATTTTACAATATTTCCTATTAAGTTACACATACAAAAATCTGGGCAGCTTTGTTGATTGATACATCTCTTGATAT